TAAGCCAATGATAATAATTTTAAGCAGCTAAGTATGTTTAAGAAGGTTGTTCACTATAGAGTACAAATAAGAGAGTATAAGGGGGAAATAACAAGGGCCAAAATTATGTTATTAACAACAAAGCAAGTCATAGGTTTCACGCCTAACATTGTCTCTGTCACTTAGAACACGGGCCAAATATGGTATCGTTGAGTTCCTATACTTGGTTGTACGAGCATATATTATTTTGTACTGATTTCTGGTTCTACCTGATGAGATGCAAGGAGAGAGTTGGGAATAGAGGGGGTGTTGGGGGTCAGAGAGTATGGTTTTAGACCATTTCTCACATGTATTCAGATGCTTATCCACTAATGTTGTGACGAGCTGACTGAGTTTTACACCGCTAGTCCTACTAACTACCTTCAACATCCTTCTCAGGATGGTATAATCCTTTTTCAGTAACCCAGGAAAGACTAACGGGGAACAGTAAAGTAGAATAGGTAGGATACGAGAGTTGACAAATTGTGAAAGCAGAGGTTGAGGGACTCCAGTTAGTCTGAGTTTCTTAATGTAGTAGGTTAGACGAAACACTTTCTTGGAAATCATTTGGATATGAGATGACCAAGTAAGGTCGGAAGATATAACTAATCCGAGGTATTTTGCATTAGACTTTGTTTCAATTATAGTCCCCTCAATTCTACAGACATCATGAGTGCTTACTAGTGTTTGTAGATCTCGTTTATGCCTAAAGGAGAAGTCGACAGTCTGGCATTTTGAGGGATTCAGCGTTAGGCCATTTAGTTTAGACCACTGACTGATGTCCGACAGGAAGCTATTTAATTTGAAGCAGTCTGACTGAGACTTAACGGGAAGCGAAACAGTCAGGTCATCTGCATATTTGACGAAGTTGATTTCGTCTGAGAGAGGTAAGTCATGTAAGAAGAAGGAAAAGAGAAACGGCGAGAGAACAGCACCCTGAGGAACACCAGCTTCAGTAAGCAAAGGAGAGGAAGCTACACCATTATATACCGTGTACTGCATCCTATTGGAGAAGTAAGAGTGCAGCCAGTTGATAGCCCAGGACTCAGTTTGTGTAAGGCTAAGCTTGTTTAACAAAAGGCCTCTAGGTACAGAGTCAAAAGCAGATGTGTAATCAAGGAAAGTACAACGGACATACTTGGCCCCTTTGTCTAAGGAGGATACAATGTTGTGATGAAACACAGCAGCAGCATCCAAAGTACTTCTACCCTGTTTGTAAGCAAACTGCTTTGGATCGTTTGAGAAGCTTAGGGAGGGAATGAGTTTTTGTAACAGTAATTTCTCCATCAGTTTCAAAAAGGAGAGGTAATGGCAATTGGTCTAAACTTAACACTATCTCCAGAACCAGACTTGGGTACAGGGATGATTTTAATATCTTTCCACAGAGAAGGTACATTATTATTAGAAAAAGAAGTATTGAAAATGCTTGTAAGTGGGTTACTTAAAATATCAGCACATTTCTTTAAAACAATGGCAGGTATACCATCAGGGCCTAGACTCTGGGAAGGTTTAAGAGATTTCAAACATTTAAGAACATCAGAAGTATTGAAACGATGAAAGTCACTGGTCGTGTTATTAGTTAAATTGAAGGCAGAAGGACATTTGGAGGGCGGATGAAAGATCTATTGAGAGTATTTACATCAATAGAAGAGGCAAAATTATTATGCTTACCACAACCAGTAATTTCTCTAAAAAGCTTCCATATGTTTTCTGAGGTTTTACAAGATAGTATTGTTTGATTATAAATGTTGTTTAGTCTCTTGATTTCAGATTTAATTTGGGTGTTTATCTTCTTAAGACCAGATTTATTCTTTGTCTTGTACAGCTTCTCTTTTTCTCTACGAAGTTTTTTGAGATGAGGGGAAGAAAAACGATCCATTCTTTTGAAAATTATCTGTTTTGGACAGCATATATCAAGACAGAATTTAAGATAGTCAGTCAAATTGGAAATAGTATCATCCAGTTTGTGTTCGTTGAAAAGTTCCCAGTTAGTGTCATTTAGCATACATCTTAGTTTGAGCATATTTTCTTGTGAGTAACACCTTTGCTGTGTTTTTTTGGACAGATTTGAGAAGATATTAAAGTGAGATCTGCTGTATATCTTAGGTAATATCCGAATAATACAATGATCTGAGTTCATGATAGGAGCACGTCTGCGTACTTCATATATTTCCTCATCATTAATGAACACTAGGTCAAGAGTTTTATCAAGTCGAGTAGGGAATTTAACAATATTGGCATGACCTAATGATACGAGGAAAGAACAATCACAGCAGTTAAAATCTCCTGTGACAACTGATAAAGAGTTTTCAAGATGTGTAACGGCGAATTCAGTGAATTCATCAGCAAAATCAGATAGATCAGATGCAGAACAGCCAGGAGTAACATAAATGTTAGAGATGAAGACGTATTTAAACTTGGATAAGTGTTTCGGGCGGCATTTGACCGTTATACAATCAATAAAGTCATTAGAGTAAGAAAAACATACATTATTTGAAGTTGACCATTGAGAATGAATGAAAGTTGCAACACCTCCACCTCTTTTCTTTCTGGAGCATAGTCGATCTTGTCTAAACAATGTAAAACCATTTAGGGAAACCAGATTGTCATCATAGAGTTCATGGAGCCATGTTTCTTGTAATGCAACAATCGCCGTATTGTGATAAGTATCAGATGATAAGAGAGACTGGAGATGCATAATTTTGTTGGGAAGTGAACGGCAGTTTGAAGTGACAATAACAGGAATGGTTGTACGATATAAAGGTGTCTGTTTAAGTGCACGCTGCCAGCCAGCGTGATGTTTTCTCTTAGATTTATTAGATGCATGAAAGTCATATGGTTTAAAACGTTTAATGAATGAATTACTGTATTTTATGCGATTTGTGATCATATTTTATTAAAATTAGGAATGAAAACATGATGTATTACATGCAATATGTACGGAAAAGTAGCCCAGGTGTCAATCAGGCCGCCAAGGTCACATTCAGTGGGACACTCATTATCTTTTATAATAGCGTTCCTTCTATTGTTTGCCAGATGTCATTAAATTTCAATTCAATTCATATTACAGGATGTTGAAATAAGCCTGTATGATCAGAGGAACCAACCTGTCTAACCGATATGCCACCAACAATGCGGAAATATTTAGATCTAGATCTGTTTGGTTTCAGTTGAAAATTGAATATCGTTTGCAAATCACACGGATATACTAATTAATTTTTCTCTTGATAAAACTACTTATTCAAGTCTGTTTCATATGGGGGAATGGATACTGAAATACTACTTCACTCGCAGTTCCCGTTTATTCATATTTGTGTGTAAGCAAAGCTTCACCTCATTTCATGCCTGACTGCTGAAAGCTTATCCATCAAATTGTCGTCTACGTCTTAATCTAGTTAATTCAGATGTCATTTAACTCGTGTAAAACAAACTAACAAGGGCTGGTAGGATAAGCTTATGCTACATCATAGATAAAATTATTTTCCAACCTTATAATAAGCGTACAAGACGAAATCATCCATATCCGGATGATTTCAGTAACAGTATACAGTTACATGTTAACGAACCTGAGTGAGTTTCTACATGCATTCCGCGAAGTATTATCAGCCATTTGAAGTTTCATGTTATCGCACAATGTACATGTAATGCAGAAGATTTGTAGCTCATGTGGATAGTTTGACCTTTCTTTAACTTTAGACAGAAATATGAATTGAATTTGTTCTCTCTCTAGACAATGAAAGCCACGTAAATAAACTGCCAGATCAGCGAATATAACCACTTCAAAAACTTACTTTGCAATATGGCTAATTGATTTTTTCAAGTCATCGGATTTTTTTGTTTCGTTTAGACAGACTATTCACACACGACGACGTGGACAGATACATCATTATTTCAACTTCATGCAATGAGTACACTTAGAATTTCCAAGTGAAGCACCCATGACAACAGCCACTGCTATTCTATTTATTAACATCTCATTTACCTAGTCAGTCATAAGCCTGGTGAAAAAAGGAAGGTTGATTGCGGACTAACAGCCGTAACCTAGACCCACTTCATATGAAGAGCACAACGTAAATAAAAAAGTACACGATCTATGGCGACAGTAATTCACATTTATTCACATAACTACGTGTGAACATTCTATTTTCTGCAGATATTCATAAATTAATCGGATATGTAGTGAAGAAATTGATGTGACATCCGCCAAAGCTGGTGAATTTGGTTTGTTAAGGGTTGAATTTCAAAGTTCTGTGAAATTCACAGGGAAGACTGCAGCTATTCTTCAGTAATTTGGTTCGCATTGATGACATTGATGACAATAGTGCTATCCCATATTTAATCGGTTTCCCTCTTCATAGTTTAGTAATTTTCATTATCTTCAACTGAGAATGAGCGTCGCTTTCACATGTATACTTTCACTTCCAATGAATAATGATTAAGTCACATTTATTCTACGTTTCCATGAGTCACGTCCATCTGCTGGACCCCATATTACTCTATAGAATAATCATAAATTTCTCATGAAATAGTGGGTTAAATGAAAGACCGACACATCAGCTACCTTCAAAATTGGCACAGAATACTTCCTCTATAACTTTCTCCTTTTATAATAAATTCCTAACTCTGTTACGTTTTTTCTTCTTCACTTGTCGAATTGTGCGTCAGTGGCACACTAGCTTGAAGCCCTATGCTCTACTGGGAACGTGAAGGAAAAATTATTATTATTATATACACTTGTTGAATTAATGCAACTGATCGTTTGAATGCCAATGTTGCATGGGTTTCCCTTCAGTCGGTATTCTGTATCTTTGTCAAATATTGTTACATGTATAAGTTCTGTCCAAAATATGAATACTGAAGAAAAAGTTGTATTTTTTAAGTCAATGAACAATAGTCTGTTGATAGCTTGTAACATTGATCAAGTGGTATGTTCGTTATGAGTAAAAGGCTTGAATTCTGCAAATTATGCATAAATTTCCGGTTTAATCAGACATATAACATTTTTTTTCATTGGGAGGGAACATAATCAAGAAAGCAACAAACGAGACTGCTATCATCAAGAATGTCAAGCTTCCAAAGTAAATGCTTCCACCTGTTGTTGATTTTGCGTCCCATATCAATTTTACGAATGTATAAATTAACTGAAACACCGAACAGTTTGAAACACATAAGCAGGGAATTAATGTACGTTTAAATAGGGAAAAATGACTAAACCATGTAGTTAGTATAGTATGCCATTCAGCTGAGATAAACTGCTTGCAAACTCACATTATTGCTTTACATAGAATTCCTTAGGTTCCTCTACTCTATGTCTTATTTTATGCATACATATTGTTTAGTACTCAAGCAAGGTGTCTTGGTGATTGGATAAACCTTCGTCGAGTTGTGCAGGTAGTCTTGGTAATGAGAACGCCACTAATAAAGCTGCTAAAAGTCTGTTCTCCGGAACTGGCAAAATTCACTAACAGTTATGATGCACACTATGTCTATTTCATTGACTCAGTATTACATTTCAATTTATTATTATGTGTGAAGCGCCTAATAAAGTTGGATTATTTGTGACTTTCTAATATCACCTACTTCGTCTTCTAGGTATTTGCAGGCATTTAACAGTATGACCTCGAAGTTGTTTTCGAGTTTGTTCACATTCGTCAATACAGTGTAACCGCACCCACAACGGGAATGAAGACTCAGATTTTCAATTTCCCCTCGCACCGTGTTTGACACAAAGGCGATATCCCTGTCAGTACTGCACTGCTTCCAAACATCAGACGTCAATGCAATTTGCACAGTTTATTGATCACACTGTAAAAATGACTGAAACAAGTTAGTCAACAGTAGCAGTGATGCCTAGACATATGTAACTGATCCGAAGGATTTCAGCTTCATCTTGAAGTTTCCTTCATTTATGGTCTGAGCCTAAATCTTCTCCCCTTCTGGATTTGCGTGTCCAGCATACCAGCTGCGTCTCCACTTCCTTGAGATTGAGGTGAAATCTATCTGGTTTTTGGTGTGCTGACGAGCACACGTCAGGCTAAGTCCGTGTTTTCTTGTGTATATCCTCCTCTTTGTACACAAGCACCCGATGACTCAATCATTTAAGACACAGAATTCTGCAAAACGTTCTCCACTGTCTGTCATTTCTCTTAGACAGAGCCTACGGACCCATGATGAGTTCTTTTCCTGTATTGTCTGTTGCCAGTGTGGCTGGCTGTCATGCAGTCCATAAGGATTTCTATGTCATGTTTGTTTTTGTCTGTCAAAATCTCCTGTCTTCCCTTGTTCCGCGTTGTTTATAGCATTGCTCATGGCACTAGATCATTGTCTTCTTCCTTCCTTTTGAGTTGACTGTCTCTGTAATGATCCTGGATGAAATTGGTTCTCACTACACTAGGGCTCTGGCTGCCACTGGTGATATCATGAAAAGCCGCAAGCAAGTTATCTAGTCGGGATTTAGTGTTCAAGTCAAATTACTGAATCCTGTTGATTCACTTCAGTTGCTTTCTCACTTATTTAGAGGGCGAACTTGTTCGAATTAACATTCAAGACAACATGCATTGATGACACTTGTAGTTGCATCTTTCATTTATATTACCGGGAAATGCACAATTTAGAATATTCTTATTTACTTTGGAATCTTTAGTCTACAATCAGCAATTTATTCAACTGTCACCAGTTTGCATCAGTTAAAGATCTCACAGGATATTCAGAAATGAAGATTGATTTGTTTCAAAGACCCACATATTTTTGCTTATTTAGCTCCAAGATGAATGTTTTTTCTATTTCGATGCTGTTTTCACCGATTGATGAATAAGTTATGACTTTCCATTACATTAGAGTTAAAAACATTATAGATGAGTTAATGTGAATCATTGGTTACGTTAAGTCACAGTAACTTACTGTCGCCAGTGCAGGGATTACAAATCCAGCCAACAATTTAGTGGTTATCTGTAAAGAGATAAGAAGTAGAAACTGGTTAGAGGTAGAGACGCGTGAATAGAACACAGTCAGCAAATAATCACTTTGTAAAATTCAAATACGAATTTCACTGCTGAAAATGAACATGGAATAAAAATACTTGTTTGACAGTATTCTAAAATGGAACTGCTTGCAGAATATCAGAAGACGTTTGACAAATGGTGAAATGACTCTTGCACAGACTATGAAAATTATAGTGATTTGACTTTTCTGATTTATTCTACTTGTTCCCGATTTACACACTTGTAATGTGCCAAATTACCTCGATTAATATTTTTTTCTAGATAATGAAAATCTCCAAGTGGGAGGAAACATGTTTTAAAAGTATAAATACCTTCAAATGAAACTGAATCGCTCCGAAAATAATAAACATAATAGAATATAATCCCAGTAATGCCAAACTGATGAAAAAGAATTTATAGTTTAGCGGTGTGAATGACTTCGAAAATATGGCTGCAAGAAATACTAAAGCGGCAAACACTGTAGCCAATGCAAGTGAAATCAAACACCATTTCCCTTCAAAACACATTGTTGCCATGCCACAAAATGTCGACATCACAATATTCTGAAATCAAAACAAGAGTGTCATAAAAAAACGCCATACTACCAACTTAAAAAAAAGCAATAATGGATAATGGATTAAAAAATTCAATGAGTTCATCAAATTTCAGTAGAAAACTACGGTTGAATACTCAACGCACAGGGACATATATATATGTATACGCATACTATTTGAAATACATCGGGAGACATAAGATTGATAAGATTGATTGAATTGCTCATGCGAAACAACATGTGTGAATGTTTTCCAGGTTATGTTCACGTAGATAATGGGAAGGGAGTGTGAGACATTAGGATTAAGATAAAATGCATCACGCTTCAATCATATCACATAGAAAAATAAACAGTCGTTACAGAAAGAAGTTAAGTATATCAAGAATTGAATCATGTGACGGCGAAAGTAGGTCAAAATCAAAGATGGCTGATACTGCTCATCAATTTCGAATCACGCCGACCAAAGAACACTGGTGATCTTTACACAAACTCCAAGAACACAGTGTTATCATTTTACAATCTGGAAAAGGTCGAAGTATCGTACTGATGAATAAGATAGAATATATCGAAAAAATGATTTAAAATGTCTCTGATGAATCTAAATTCAGAAGGAATAGTCGTGTAAAAGATCAAACAGTATCCACGGAAAGGAAAATTGTGCAGCATTTACGGAAAGTTTTCAGAAAGAAATGCATTGATAGAGAACCAAGATAGGAACAGATCCCGAAACTACACGGGTGTATTAAAATGCACAAACCAGGTGGGCCCTTGAGACCTATACTAATAATGATAAATTCACCTTACCTTACTGTGAACATGACAAAAATGATGTCACATCCTAAAGTATTTACTATTCTGAATGTACGTGTGAACACACATTCATATGGAGGACTCATCGATCTCTGCACGTAAGGGCTTCAGAGCATATTCCTAAATGGCTCCAGAAGCAAATTGAATCTTCAGAACCTGTTAGTGGAGAGAAAAGGAGACCTAGCTCCTCTATTGCGAAACATAATATAGTGACAGGACATAAAATTGACGTTAACACATCTTTTAAACCTATCTATAAAACGTGTTTGGGGCGTATCCTAAAGTTTGTGGAAGCCCGAGCAATTAGAAAGCTTAAACCATTTTTATGCGTTTAAAAACAATTCGTCATCATACCAAAAGTTCCTTGGTAAACTTTGTTTTGATACCATAGCAGATGCACTCATTCCTTTGCTATTTGGTTTAGTGATCTTCATTGTTTTTTGACCTTCAATATGTCCTTTCAACTTCACTTAATTCTATTTTCTCACCTCTTAACTCTTTATTAATTTCAAATATATTTTTATAACATATCCGTGTTCGATCAAATAGATCGAAATGTGTTGCGGAAATACATTACACAATTCAGATAAATTACGCCTTTTTATTGATTTGTCTAGATATTTTTAGTGTCGGTGAGCGCAGATCAACTGATGTAGATGGAATGATGGAATTCAGCTCATGGCATCCGAATCCTTATCTCCTAATGGAACACGAGGAAATTTGTACTGTTAAATTCCTAGACGTTTTTCTAGTCAATAGGACAGATGGCGCAATAAAAAGAGCTCTATTTAGAAAGTCTTCATGGACAGGATTTTGCATACATTACAATAGTTCTCTTTTGATCCAGTAGAAAAAGAACTTTACCAGAACACTGTTCAATGGAGCACGAAGTCATTGGAAGTGACAATAAAAGTGAGCATAAAATACAGGCTCTGAAGGATATTTTTTCCAAGGATGGATACCATCAGGTGTTGCTGCAACTTTGGCTATCGAAACAGAAAAGCCAGATCTCTGTTTACAGAAAAAGTTTGTTAAAACCCTCGAATTTTCATGGTCTTAATCCCTCTATGCTAAAGTATAGTAATCCCTAATCATATTTTGGCTCTAGCAGAATTTTTCATTTTGTCTATTCACTTTGTATACTCTTCTTTTAATACGTCAATTACTATTCTCCCTTTGAACTGTTCCCGGTATTATTTCACTTGTTTCACTTGTCATTCTAAATCAATCTTGTTTTGCAACGTCAACTTCTATGTTATAAAATTTTATACAATATTACGCAACGTTTTTATTTTATTCGATTTGTCTACTAGTCCTATAATTGCACAGCTCTTCTAAGTTCTCTGCATCCGATGAATTATTTTCAAGTTTTGGTTTCGTAGGGTTTTAGTTTGATGATGTCCTCTATGCAATATTCGATATATGACACTAATTGTTTTTCTACTTGACATTTAACTATGACTATAATCACAAGTATTTTAATTGCATTTCATACTACTATTATTTTATGCATTAACACATATAATTCAATTCCTTCACCGGATATAACTTCTTAAAAACCATATATATATATATATATATATATATATATATATATATATATGTACGAATGTACAGCTTGATGATAAATTCGTTGAAAGGATTCTCTTTGCTGAATCCCTTCTTTTGATTTTCTGTAATAAGTACTTTAAAAAAATGATCCCCTGCGGAAATGTTCAAACAGTTCCGAATAAATCTGTCTATTCAAGTGTTGGTTTGTAAGGATTTGATTGGTTTACATGATTTCATCACGACCTGACATTATTTAGAGAACCAGGTTTTCCAATGGCTCTCTAACCAATGTCAGCTCATGATGAAATCCTATAAATCTGTCTATATCAATTTTCCATCCAAGATAGATGATTTCCAAGAGCTAGCCAAACGGAGACTCGATAAAGCTATCAGGAAAATTTAGTATGCAGCGAAAGTTTTCTTCCACAACATCACTAGGGGAGTGCATAAACAATCTGAGGAAGACCAGTCGCCAATCTTGAGTACTTCAAACTGCGTAAATCAGTTTGAGGGTGTTTGTGGAAGAAAGTACAAAGGTTGCATAGTAAGGTGATTGTGTATGGGCATGATGTAGAATTTGCCGAATTGATTCAAAACAGCTGAATTCACAGTGCTAAAAAGCTCAATAATAAAGAATCTCGTCGACTGCGTACATGAAATCGATTCTGTCAGGTTATTCACTGTTGTCAACAGATAAACAGACAAACAAACAAACAAACAAACAAACAAACAGGAAGATGCTTGCGATTACGGAGGCTTGTGCAATTGGAGTTTATAAATCATGTCACTGTGTACAAAAGAAGAGGGTTGCAACTTTAAATCCACCACGTTATGCGTTTTACTTGTTAACTTTTATTATTATTAACACTTTATTCTACCTCTCATTATTATTCTTGATTCATTTAAAACTATCTGTTATCAGTAGCATTATCTTAAATTATTTCAACATTATTGTTAATACTCAATTTGCGATTCTTGATATATATTCGCTATTAATAAATATCAAAGTGAGAAAAGCTTACGATAGATCATTGAATTTGACGTAAATGCAGTTGACGAGATGAATATACAAGCAACAGATGTTAAGTAAGCAGCATATAATAGATTCATCGAATTTCGGTAGAACTTTTCAAACGAATACTCTACGTACATTTATATATATATATATATATATATATATACTACAGGAAATATATTTGGATATATATGAGATATGATACTTACCAGTCAAATCTCCAAATATATGTTTCATGGTATATTTACCATTTTATTTAGAGTATCCAGCTAAAGGATCTTACAAAATCTTGAGGGATTCCTTAAGTGTTAACAGTGATTAATAATGTAGTTCATAATGCTGAAATCTCTATCCACCAATGTTTCTTAAGTAAGAAAACAAACAATAATAGGCTTTGACATGAACTCAAATATCATTAGACGTTCTTCCCATTCATTACCAGATAATCAAACTTCTGGAGACGCAGTGTCCTGACGAAGAGTTAAACTGTAAGATAGTTATCATTTTGATTTTCAGTCGCTTTTTAGGTATTTTATGCAACAATAACTCTAAACTCAAGTCTTTATTCAAATGAATGACAAAATAAAAACCCACAGAGTAGAACAACAAAACGAGAATAACTCACCGTAATAAATGCAAATATGATACTCACTGCTAATGGAACTCGGTAGCGTGAAATGACAGTCCAGATAATACATACACCGACTAAGACCGGACTACAAATTCAGTGTCATATTGAATTTATTAAGACTCACCCTAAGCAATAAAAAAATCCATTTATGGCTACCAAAATCTTTTATTCTATCACTTCATGGGCAGATATTTCATCTTTAGACAACAAACTTACATTGAAGCCAAAAGAACAACTAAAACGAATACAATCCATTGCAAAGCTGTACACAATATGAAAATTCCCTGTTTTTGTTTAATCAACTGGTATCAGTATTCAATTCACCTCACCTTTTCATTCATTTTTATCAGTGAATGAGGGATGATAGTTTGCAAAAATATCTTACAACTCTCTTCTTTCTCCTCTCTAAATACGAAAATATCTCTGATACAATGAGTGCAATTGTTTGTCTATACCATATTTATTGTGGGAAACGGTTTTGACTAATGCGATCAGTCGTTGTTTCTCACAGCAGCAGTTGTTGTGAAAACTGAGTTTCCTTGATTAAGGTTTAGATAGACGAACAGTCAAACTGACATCACTCGTAATTAACGCCAATGGTATGGTACTATTGGAACTAGTGACTGGCTTAGAATCAACGACCTCTGATTGGTCATGATAATTCGTGATCACCCTTCATTGGACAGTATTGTTAGTTGCAATAACAATTATCATTGTGATGTATTTGTGTATCTACTATCGTTTCTGGTGAATTTCTAAACAAATACGGAGTCATGTTGTATTTTTGAAAAAAAAACTTGTTCTCGTGTATAGAATCTACGAAAATGAACAAGGGTTGATTGATTTCTTTTCCAGGATATTTGTAACATACTATAACTTGTTTTAGCTCGCCTAGATTACTAGCTCTCTACAGAAACTTCAACGCACAAAAATATATTAAAAATTCTAAAAATATAAACAATAACCTTATTTTTTGCTGGAATCGGGGAAATGAAATGACTCAGGCTGGCGAAAGTTTTCGGAAAGCCAGTCAGTCAATGTGCCTTCTTTCAATGAAAGCAAAAATAAGGATGGGGACATGGAATGTTCGTACAATGTACGAAACTGGAAAGGCTGCCCGGATAGCCGCAGAAATGAGAAGGTATAGAATAGAAGTGTTGGGAATCTGCGAGAGCAGATGGAACGGATGTGGAAGCTGCCAACTACCAACTGGAAAGACAATAATCTATTCCGGCCACCCAGAGGACAAACACGAGCACATCGAGGGAGTGGCCATCATGATGTCACCAACAGCAGCCAAAGCGCTCATGCAGTGGGAACCAATCTCCTCCAGGATAATGACAGCCAGGTGCAACTCGAAAGGAAGGAAGATTATAATCCTTCAATGCTATGCGCCTACAAACATCTCAGAACAATAGAAGAAGGAGGATTTTTACAGATAACTAAAAACAGTAATGAACAACATCCCAAATGGCGATATCGAAATCCTGATAGGCGATATGAATGCGAAGCTGGGAGGAGACAATACAGGAAGAGAACTCACCATGGGTCGCGAAGCCCTCGGTGAAATGAACGACAATGGTGAACTCTTCTCAAACGTCTGCCCCTTCAATGATTTGGTGATTGGTGGCAGTGTGTTCAAACACAAGGACAACAGATATGCTGACTCCATTATTGCAAAAGGTCTGGAAGGAGGGAAATGTGCCTACTGACTGGAGGAAAGGTTACCTCATGAAACTACCAAAGAAGGGTGACTTAGAACTCTGCAAGAACTGGCGAGGAATCATGCTCCTGTCGACGCCAAGTAAAATCCTGAGTCGCATCATCCTGGAGAGAATTAAGGACGCACTGGATACAGAAATCCGACTAGAACATTCTGGATTCAGGAAAGGCGAATCATGTACTGACCAAATTGCAACTCTACGCACCATCATCACAGAACAAAGCATGGAATGGCGATCAAACCTCTACCTCAACTTTATAGACTTTGAGAGAAGGCCTTCGACAGCGTTGACTGCGAAGTAATTTGGAAACTACTCGAGTACTACGGCGTACAGTGCCCCAAATATTCATCAACCTTATTCAACAGCTGTACGACAATGGTACATGTCAAGTGATCCACAACGGAAAACTCAGCGAGGCGTTTGGAGTGAACACAGGAGTCAGACAAGGGTGATTATTATCACCCACGATGATATTCCTAATTGTGGTGGACTGGATTATGCGTCAGACAGTGAGTGGGAAATGAGAAGACAGGGATATTCTGTTTGGACCAACGTGAAGAACCTAGAAGACCTGCATTTCGCGCATGGATGATTTATGTTTGATGTCACTGTCACAAAATCGAAGACTTACAAGCGAAAACCGACAAACTGGTCGAAGAAGCAGCCGGCGAAGACAGGACTCCAGGTGAACATAGACAAGGCGGAGGTGATGAAAATAACCAGCCAACAACAACAACGGCAGCAACATCCAGCGCCGATCACCATCAACGGGAGGGATTTGAAAGAGGTCACTTCATTCACTTATCTAAGGAGCATTGTCTCAACTACAGGCAGTAGGAACGGACGAAGATGTCAAATCGAACGAGAATCGGGAAGGCGAGAAACACATTCATCAACCAACTGAAATCAATCTGGAAATCTTAGTCACTCAGCATCAACAACAAAATTCAGTTGGATTTCAATACAAACAACGTCAAGTTAGTCAGTTCTTCTATGCGGATCAGAAACTTGGCGGGCTGGTCACAAAGAATATTTCAAACAGCCTATTGCAGACCTATATCAACAACTGTCTTCGCTGGGCCTATACTGATGATCAGATGGCCGGACCGGGAAGAATCACCAACAAGAAACTATGGGAAGGAACAAACAAAGCAAGAACCAATCGCCGCCCAACAAATATGCAGGAGAAAGTGGAGATGGATTGGACATCGCGCGCGCTCCAGGCCGTTGTTTGAGTGGAACCCAAAAGGGAAGCGGTGAGTGGGACGTCAGTGCAAGGGTGACATGTAGGAGATCGTGTGGAGAGGAGTTGAAACAGTATGAACTAACGTGGATGCAGGTGAAAAGTACAGCAGAAGGAAGACAGAAACAAGCGGAGACGTGTAGTTGAAGCCCTATGTTTCACTAGGAACCCAAGGGAACAATAATAATTGGAAGAAGAATTTGTTTACTGGCGTGTGATGAAGAAGCATAATTAGGTAGCTTTTATTCAATAGAGAACACAATGTCTTCGGAAGATCTGACCAGGTGGTAAGGTTAAGATCATACTTTCGGAGTAAACCCGAGGAGAGTTAATTCCTTTATCAAAGGTATATTGATGTTCATTTAACTCCTACAATTTTTGATACAATAAATATTGTCCATATTTTCTCATTTACAGTCAGGAAATACTGATCACGCACTTTTTCAGTTAGTGAATCTACCTAAGAACCTGATTTCTTTCAACACTTGATAGCCAATTTTTCATGTGCATGTATTGTATTTGTTTTTTAGTTGCATTAATTTCTTCCCCTCCCCCAGCATTACTTATGACACTGATATTAAATTGAGGTCTACTCAATACTTTGAATTATATCACATCATGAAATCTCTTGATCTCATTTTATTTTAGCTTCTGACTGATAGATACTTAAAATCTGGATTATGTATTTGTTTTCTCAAATTTGCAAATTCACTTACACATATTTGGAAACAAAATCCCCTCTGTTTCTATGAAGACTTCCTAAATACGTATGAATGTACATCCTGAGAAGAATATCACGGAAAAGAGTTACTGTCTGCTGAATGCTTTTTCTTTTTCATGCATTCATTTTCAATAACTGACGGTCAGATAGACAGCAGTGATCACATACTTTTTAAGAAAAGTCATAATTAACTAATTATGACTGTATTTTTGATCTGAAGCTGTGATTATTTTGAAAGATGTAGTGAAAGCCGGTATTTCTACGCAGCTGTGCCTAGATTTGAAAGACACACGAATACCTAAAGAATCTGTGTAGAATGGTGAGGAAATAAACCAGTGGTGATTGAAATTGGGATTATGCATAGTTGTCTGGTATTTTCATATTTCTGTTGAGTAATATTACTTAAATATATAGTGGACAGCATAATTGGTAGTGGTGTTTTAAGTGATTGGAAAGGCAAAATGCCAGTTAAAATTTATATAACACGAAAAACAGTCATAATTTCAATTTGCACTGCATATGGCCTGAGATCTTTGTCAAGTAAAATACTAAGTCGCGTCATCCTGTAGAGAATAAGTGATGCACTGGTTGAAGAACTCCATCCGCCTGAACAAGGCAGATTTAGGAAAGGCAAATCGTGTGTGGATCAAATTGCACCTATTCTCATCATCATCATCATCATCATCGAACATACCACAGAGTTTTAGTCAACTTTTCCTCAACCTCACTTGCATTGACTTTGAAAAGCATTCGAAAGCGTTGACCATGAATTAATATGGAAACTACTTCAACAAAGTGGCGTGCAGTGACTAAATCCTTTCAGCCTCATTTAGATGCTATTTGACCATGCTCCGTGACGGGTGATCCACAACAGAAAACTTGGCAAAAGTTTTGAGGTAAAGACAGGAGTAAGACGAGGTTGTCTAACTGTGATGAAGTGGATTATGAGAAACACCTTGAGTAGGAGGCGAGAATAGAGGAGTGTGTCAGATGGATGTGAAGACTATAGAATATCTGAACTTCACGCATGATTTATGCATGATATTACAAAAACTCGAAGACTTGCAGGCAGACGAAAACCAACAAGGTAGCAGAAGTGGCTGGCAGAGAAGAGACCTTTTCAAGGGAATAAAAAGAAGACGGAGTTGGTGAGAATCACGAATCACAATCAAAGGAATAAATCATTTAAGAAATTACATTCTACACTGCTCAAAGAAGCGCATTTTCAACAAAAAGTCACCAAAAATGAAGACGTTAAAACCATGAGAGGAAAGATAAAAAACACTTCTCCCTTATGGTCAAAGGCCATTCCTATTACACAGTATATGCGATTGCGCAGATCACACAGTGTATAATAATTGACGTTATCGATTCATTGTGAGGGAAACTTGTTCATTCTTCAACACCAATTTGTATTGCATGGTTTCAGATTCCGAATGCGAGATTCTCAGCAGTGTCCTGTAATTTAAGGTGTGAGTGTAAGGGTAAGAAACACTTTGCCATCTGGAGTGTGTTTTAACATCCTATAATAAAACAGATTACTGGAGAGTACTGGAGATCAATACCAAACAGCGAATTAGAACCTGCTTGAGAACTGATCTTTATTGGGACAAAATATTTGGTTCCCTTGAAAAATTTTGATAAAACAAGCGT